GTACAATTTAACTACAAAATTTAAATTATCAGTTAACTCGGCTTCGGACTATTCGAAATTCTAATACGTAACAGAGGATATGAGAAAAACATCTGCATGAACTGCTTCACCACCTTTATGTTTCGCCGTCACAATAACTTACTATAGTATATGACAATGTTCACCTCTCGAGAACATCCTTTCAATTTATACTTCTTGTATCTTCTAGTCCTGACCATAATGCTGCCTCCACTTCATTTTTCATTTATCCTTCCTGAGATTGGTTATTTTCTACACCAGACTCTGATAACTATTCCCCGTACATTCGTCTCATGAACCCTCTTTCTTCTGTTACAACAAGAGAACCTTCCTTTGTCTCGTTGTTTCTCCTACCCGTCAATTATATATACGGCTGTCTCTTATGACATTCTCTCGTATCTCAAGAGAGGGCGCAACCCTCTGATGGCCAGTCAGCCTTGATCTCGAAATGAACTGACCGATAAAAAAACAAAAAATTCTAATCGTCCTTCCAAACTGATGAGACCTGATATTGAACGAGAGGCAGTAACTTGTGGGAGACAAGAGATAGATCTGAAATGCTGTTTTTTACACACCTTTAGTGAGAACCGGAAGTCATCACATTAAAAGGATATGAAAGAACATCCTCTGGTTTACGACATTTTTATCGCAAAAGTTAGGCTAAGGTAGATTATTATTATTTTTTATTCCGTGGGTACGATAATATTAATACTATCCATTTAAGTAGGTTTGAACTGCAGTATGTTTTAATGACTGTGAGATATTTCTCAAATAGCAAAAAATAAAATCAATAGTTCAAGACCTAATCGAAAATAGCATTGTTTCATTAGATAAACGCATTCAATCATAGAAGTTTAAATCCTGTAAGCTTCAAAGTATACAAACTGTTTAATCAAAAATTTCCAATTACATCATTAAATATTGAAAATTAATACAACAATAATGAATAGCTTGTAAATGAAAAAAAAAAACACGTTTTCGTTTGTGATAACGTTTCATTACTGGTTGAATGTTACTAAATTCAAATGTTTCGAGAAATACTTGGTCAACAGTCTAAAAAAGCTTCAAGCAATCTATGATATCGAGGTACAATATATACATCGTTCAAATACAAGTCCATTCTTGCACTCGTATGTGTATACAAGTCCATTCTTTTCTAAAAAATATAAACGATATAAACCACAAAATAGATACGTTCATTAATGACAAGTTTGATGTAAACGGAAACTAATCAAACTCATTTTCTATAGTTTAGTTTTATAAAAAGTTTCAATTCATAATATTCGTTTACTTTATTGCCTTCAAAGACTTTTTTTTACTTATTTTGTTTTAGTTTGCTTGTAGTTCTCAGAGGAATTCTGTTTAGAAACGATGTTTTCAAGAACGATAAAAGTCACAATTTTTATAACAGCATGCCTTAAGGCCAAGGGCACAAACAAGGCTGTAAAATATATATTGTTTATTTCAGGCATTACGGGATAGATATTGGAAAGATCACTTTCAAGTTTAAGTGTTTTTTTTTTATAGTTAGTGTCCATTGCATAGGTAAGATTCAGGAACTGGAGAATAGGGATAATTGAATAAGATATTAGTTGTTTAATCACGCCGTGACTTTAATACTACACCAGAGTATCATAATATCATTACGATATTTTTCTGGTGTACAGATAGCTGTAACTTAACAATAGGACCAATAATCTTTTTTTTTTTTTGCCATTCGGATGGCTTTACAAAAAAAGGCACATCAGAATGTACAAAACAATGGAGGAGGCAGTCACAAGCGA